TGGAAAGCGAAAAGAAAAAGGGTACTATTAATAGCTGTTAGTAGTGAATCCCATTGTAGAGTTTAAACTGGGACTCTTCCAAGCAAAAGCAAACAAAACACCGTATTCATTAATGAATTTTTTTTTTTAATACAGAGTGACTAAGTAATTACTTAGCCTGGGCTCACATTTGGAACCCTTCTGTCTCAGCCTCCCCAAGTGCTGCGATCGCAGGCCTGCAACACCATACGCAGCTGCGCCTTATAATGATTTATAACAGTAAAAGTGATCACTCAACAAAGCCTGTACGTGTCCTTTCATAATCACACCGCTCTCCCTCCATCCCTAGATGTAACTATGATCCTTGCTTTTACAGTAGTAATTCCTTTTTTAATCGCTGCACTTTTAAATTTAGCAATTCCTTAGGAAGAGCCAGGATAAACCAGACACCGGGCCAGGGAGACAGCTCTGTAGAATAAGCACTTGCCTGGCAAGCGCGAGGGCCTGAGTTCAATCCCTGGTTCCACAAACATAAATAGATAAATACATAAACCGTGCCCACAGTGGCCCCGAGGCAGCTCTGGCCTTGGCTCTAATACTTAAGACCTTATAACTCCAAATCACAAGGTGTGACCAAAATACACAATAAAGGTTTAAACTGTTTAGAATTTATGGCAGTAAAAGACGTTGCTGGGTCAGGGACATAGCTCAGAAAGCCTGAGGTTGTGAGTTCAGTTCCTGACACGCACACATAAAAAAAGACGAGACGCGCTGCTACTCACCCTTCTCAGACACTCCGACTCGCTGGGCACTGTGGCGCGCGCCGGAGGCCAAGGCAGGAAAGTCACTGCAAGTGCAAGGTCAGTTTGGGGTACAGAGTGAGCTTAGTGAGTTTCAAGTCATCCTGAACTGTATAGTAAGACCGTCTTTTTGAAACAGGGTCTTGCTGGGAGGTAGCTCAAGGGGCTAAGTCCTCTTTTGTTACCCCTCCCCTCCCCGCTCCTTGCGTGTCTTGGTGCTCTTCTCTTCAGGGAGAGATCTACCTGCCTGTTTCCTATTATCTATATTTTCTTTTGCTCTTTCATTCATTTATACTTTGGGCTTCTCGTGTAAGAGCAACCGCGTGATCGTGAAGCTATGTGTCCGGTTTCTTTCGCTTAGCACTACGGTCGCGAGGTGCCCCGTCCGTTCCTGCATCTCTAATAATCGTGTACGAGTGTAACGTTCCATAGTTGGTATCACACCTCATGTTTAAATACATCCAGCCTCTGTTTCTTTCTTCTGTGTAATTAGAAAAATCAACACAGTGAGGGAGGTCTGAGGAGTGATTTTCAGTAAAGAAACACCTCAGGATTTCCAACAGGTTTTACAGCCAACAGCAACGACTCTTTGCAATGCCGTGAGAAATGGCCGTTTGTAGCTAAAGGGACGGGTGACGCCATGGGCTTCTGCTGCATTATTTAAAAGTACAAATGGAAATGTCTCCTTCCCAGTCTTTCCTTAGAGCCAGCTGAAAGGAATAATAAGGTTAATTGAGAAAAGAAAGTAAGGACCGTTAATAAAAGATGAGCTCTGAGGCGCAGCAGCCACCCGGGGGCCCCGCGCTTGCTGTGCCGCCCTGCCCTCCCAGCGCCTGACATTTGGGGTGCGGGCTGCAGAGGAAGCTCATTTGCTAGCCACAAAGGAAGCTGCGGGCAGAAGCTTGTTAGCTCTGGGAAGGGCGAGGAAGCTGCCCGGGGCACCTGGCTGCGCAATTAGGCTCTGAGTTATATGTCACATTACCATAAGCGCCCTCACTGGGCTCGGGCCAGCTCCACAGCCCTCGTGGCTGCTGCCTGTAATGAATTAAATATGTGTCAAAGCTGCAGGCCAGGCCACAGACCTGCCCTTGCTGGGTCTGCACAGGGAGAAGCCTGGTGCTAGCTGTGATTTCCAGGCAGGGCCACAGGGACAGACGGGTGAGGCCAACAGGCTGGGCAGCGTATGCAGCCCAAAGGGACAGCCCGGGTGGCACAGGGCAAGGCCACTGCAGGGCCGGGGCTGCCGCAGCCTCAGCTTCTCCGGAGAAGCCATGCATTTTGACCTTAATTCCACTTTCTCAAAGTGAGTGACTCACTCAAAAATTGTTTAAGACCCTGAGACCGCGATGTGAGCTGGACCCACAAATCAGCTTCTAAATCTGGAAAGGAACTTAAGAGTGTTCAGGGTTCAGTGCCTTCCATTTTTTACATTTAGATAATTGGTTTGTTGTTTTGAGGCAGGCTCTCACTAGCAGGCCAAGTTGGCCTTGAACCCCCAGCAGTCTCCCTGCCTCACCCTCCCATGTACTGGGGTTCCAGATATGCACGTTGGCCGACGCCCGGCCCAGTGCCTCCCGAGGTGGACGAAGGACTTGCGGGTGGGCAGCAACAGCTCAACAGCAAAGCCAGCTCTAGAAAGAACATGTTTTGTGTCTCCTGTATCATTTTTCATTCCCCAGTGAGAAGGGCAGAGGCTTTAGTCCTAATTAAAAAGTCAGCAGACCCAAGTGTGGTGCACCCCCAGCACCCTGGATTCATTTTGCTGACTTCAGGATGGTGAACAAATGTGAGGCCTATGCTACCTGCAGGCACCAAGCAGCAGCAGCAGCACGTTCCCAGCCGTAAGACTGCGTGACACACGCGTGGCCCTGGGGGAGCTGTGCCCCCCAGAACTGCAGGCCGGGCTGCAGAGCAGACTGGAAGGAAGCAGTGAGCTCCAGCTGCGGGACTCCCGTTTAGTCCACTTCCCTTTCCATCCAGTGCCATCTCTCACCTCGCACAACTCGCAGAAGGCAGGACGGGTGGCAACGAAGTCTGCTGGGCAGTAGGGGCCTAATTACCACTTGGCTACAAGAGTGGACCGAAGGACCTCTGTCCCTGGCAGACCCGCCTGCACAGAATTCCCGCCCTAGCGTGGAGAGCACACGACACCCAAGGAAAGACAGGTTCCAGGAGCTCTGTGGCGGCAGGAGGAGGAGGATGGAGGAGGGGGTGGGGGGGGAGAGGAGAGGGAGGGGAGGGAAGGGGGAGAAAAGGGAGGGAGAGGGCAGGGGAGGGAGGGGGAGGGTGCGCCCCCTGAGAGGAAGCCGGCGCTCCTCCTCTGGCCTCCATTATCTTAGAAGAAATCACCCCTTGTGTTAGTGAAGCAACAATATTGTATTTGAACCCATAATCAATGAAGAGAAAGTCTGCTCCCTAAATTCTTTAGGTTCACTATCCCAAGGAAAGGGTTTGTGGACCGATTCTGTGGCTTTGTGTAAAATGCATAGAGTGATCCCCCCAGGTTAGTGACTGAGTGAGGTGTGGTGTGGGCGCTGCTTTCTTCCTGTTTTGTTTTGGGGTTTTTTTGAGACAGGGTCTTGCCAAGTAGTCCAGGCTGGCCTCAAACTCGTGGCAATTCTCCTGCCTCGGCCTTCTGAGCACTGGGATTGCAGGCGTGTTATTCTGTATATATATGAAGAAGCAGCCAGTTGTTCAGTGCAAGCTGCCTGCTGCCCTAGGCCTTTGGCGCAGAAGCCGCCTCTGTCTGTGGTGGCTCCAATGTCACAGCCTGTCACACCAGTGTGTGACACCACAGCCCGCCAATGCAATCTGTCCTTGAAATCCACCCCAAAGTGTAGCCCACACATTCTCAAGCTCACCTGTCAAGCCTATCGGGCCACCCCGATTGGCTAATCCCCGCCCGGAATCCCAGCACTCGGGGAGGCTGAGATAAGAGGCTAACCCGTGGGAATCCAGCCTGGGTGATCTAGCCAATTAGTAAGACTCCGATTTTAGAAAAGGCTGGGGCATAGCTCGATGAAAGGCACTGGCCTCACCCACAGTCCTGAGAGAGAAATGTGGGCCACCTGCCCCCTCGCTCCCACTCCTCTTGCACAGAGCGCAGACCAGCTGGCTGGGATTGCCTCATGGCACCCTTAACTGGTTGGATGCTGTTATCTGAAATTTGAAATACTGGCTCCTACCAACACAGATCACAGCTCACACTTTCCTGTGTCCTCAAAGACTTAGATTTATTTAAGCATCATTGGACTTTTCCTTAATTTTTGTTATTGTTGCTGTTGTTGTTTTGAGACAGGCTGGCCTTAAACTCATTGTGTAGCCCAGGCTGGTCCCCACCTGACAGCGACCCTCCTGCCTCTGCCTCCTGAGGGCCAAGGTTATGCCTGGCCTTCCTTTAATGTTCTTAACCTTCTTCTTTAAGTGTTGGACCTAGAACCTAACACTTCCCCCAGAAGTTTAGCCTGACTGCCTTATAAAGGAACAGAAAATCCATCTTTACCTCTTTTTTTTTTTTTTGTACCAGGAATCGAACTCAGGACCTTGCACTTGCTGGGCAGGTACTATGACACTGAGCTACATCCCCAGCCCCATACATCTCTTAGCTCTCATTTGTGTGTGTGGTATCGGGAATTGAACTCACAACCTCACGCTTACAAGGCAGGCACGGCACCACTGAGCTATATCCTGGACTCTTAGCTTTAATTTTTAAAAATTATCAAACTCTTCCTGATGCAGTTAGTATCTCCCACATGATCACTATGTCATCAGTCACTAGGGTGCACTGAGGTCTTAAAGTTTACTCTTTGTTTGTTTTCTTTAATACTGTTGCAGGACCCTGGAGATACCTCAGTAGCAGAAGGGCCTGCCTGACAGGCACAAGGCCCAAGTTCAATCGCCCGGACCAAAAGAACCCCAAAATCTAACTTTATACCATTGCACGGGGAGGAGTGTCTGCTCTAGAAAGAGCACAGCGGAGGGACCCAGCGGGATGCGGCGCTCTCCTGGCACGGCTCTGGGCCCCAAGGTGTGTAGCATTCTCTTCCCCCACACTGGCCACTGGTTCTGACGCCCCGGCCACTGCTCAGTTCCACTTGTGACCACTAAGTGGCACCAGAACTCTGAATACCTGAGGAGCTACAGCAATGTCACGGGACTGTCTTTAGGTGACTCACTGTGAGCCTTTGATTAATACCGTCTTTAAAAAGCAATTTGCAAAAAAATAATAAATAAGTAAGTAATTTGCTTCTTTTTATTGGTGGGCTGTAACATGGTGCCATTTCGGCCACTTATTCCCTTGGCCTGTACTAAAGGGAAGAGCAGGCCAACGCGGAATTACGGGCGGCTCCGCCTGCAGCCCCCAGCGGCGGCTCTGAGCGGGCCACAGGTTCAGCAGCTTTGCTCTGGGCGGCAGCAGCCTCCGGCGACCGCAGGGCCGCACCTGGACCCGGTGCTGTCACATTCTTCCGCAAGCTTGAACGGGTCTGTGATGATGCGCTGTCAAAAGGCAAACCAAGGCAAGGACGGTCAGCGGTGTGCGGAGGTCCCCAGACACTACCAGTGTGATTTGGGCTGACCTCCCAGGAAGGGACAGGAAATCTTAGAATTCCAGGGTCCGGCGAGTCCTATCAGTTGTTCAGGTATGCAGGCGGCCCTCCCTGACTGCATCATTGCTTCTTCCAAGGTAAACTTCACTCAGGGCCGGGGAGATAGCTCAGTAGAATAAGCGCCTGCCTGGCAAGTGCAGGGTCCTGAGTTCAATCCCTGGTGCCGCGAAAAAATTAATTAATTAAAATAAAATAAACTTCACTTAGCGCTTCTTAAAGGCGCCCTATTATGCCACAGGGTTGGCTTCACTCACTTGATTTTATTTGGTGAGATTGTATGTGCCTTGGACTTGAAGCATACAAACAGTCCTCCTCCCCATCTTCTGTCATCATGAAATTCTTTAGTTGTATAAAGTTCAGAAGGATTTTTTTTGGCTGGCTCAGGAAGCCTTAAGGCCTGAGGATCTGGGGATCGAACCTCAGTATCCTGAGCCTGAGTGCCTTCGCTTAAGCAGGCACGTAAACGCCTGGGCTGATGCGCAGGCCCCCTTTCCCATCTTCTGATCTTCTCAAATGAAAAAGACCACAGACCAGAGAATCCCACTCAGCAGGTGTCAGCAGGGACGTGTGACTGCCCTGCCCAGGTGTGGAGAGTGCCCATGGTGCCAGGCTGGCCACGGGCAGGGAGTGGACTCCGCCCGGGGAAATGCCAGTGTCATTTCTCCTCCTCTCAGTCCCACCTGAGACAGCTGCAGCAGCAGCTCCAGAGCACCCAAAGACGGGAAGTCACAAGCAGAACGCGCGCTTAAGCGGGCGGCGGAGCACTCATCCGATAGAAATGAAAACCCTCACTGTGGGGCTGCCTGCCACTCACAGGAAGGCAGGCACGCCAAGCAGTCGGGAAACCGACAGTCTCAGGAACATGTCATCCCTGGAAGCCCCTCGCTGGTGGCCTTGGCCTCCCTGTCCCCGTTCCCCTTTTCAACGTGCAAAGCTCTGCCGGGGCCTGCGCTCCCCCCGGGCAGGCCAGCGGCTGGCCTGGGCCCTCCACGCCGGGCCCTGCACGCTGCTGCCGCCCCGCGGCACCCCTTCCTGAGCTTGCCTCTCTCAGGACACAGGCGTTCCTGGCAGGGAGCAGCTGCCCGCCATCCTTCCACCCAGCAAAAGGATCGTTTCGCTTCCTTGGGCCAGCGTCTCACCGCGGAGGCCAGGCTGGCCTTGAGCTCCCAGAGGTCCTCGCACGCACCACCACACCTGGCCCCGCAACACGGCGCTCCACGCTTCCTCTTCCCTGCCACAGCACACGATGGTGTCAGCGTCATTTCCAGATGCCTCCTCGCAGCCCTCAGACAGCTCTGGCGCGTGGCACGCTGGCTAGGAGCGCTAGGAGCGCCGGCCCTCGAATCTGCCTGAGCCCTGAATTTACCACCTTCTAGCTGTGCCGTCTTGGTGAACATGCTAACTTCTCTGAGCCTCGGTTTCTTCATCTATAAAGTCGTGGTGACCACGAGGACTATGTGCAAGGTCCCTGGTTCATGTTAACTATTCCATAAAAGTTTCATTGCTACCGTTATTTGTCAGGAGTTAAAAGGGTAGTGCTCACAGCTGGCCTGGAACTCCCTCACAGGGATCCTCCTGCCTCAGCCTCCTGAGTGCTGGAATTACAGGCGTGTGCCACCATGCCTGGATAGCTCTTTCATTTTTAAAATCTGTCTTCAGTGTCAATTCCCCACTTCAGAAGACCTGGAACTTAAGATAAGCCAAGCCACAGGAGATAGCGCTGTGGGCTGCTCCAGGTCAAAAGAGCTGAACGGCACGTGCCGTTAGCACAGGCTGGGAAGACCGTGCTCGGCTTAGGGGAAAGGCTGGCCCTAAGTACTAACTATAGTCAGACAGGGCAGGGAGTTCTGGAGCACTGGGGCACCGCAGGTCGACGGTCGAGTCCAATAATGTGCTGTGTATTTCAAAAAACTAGAAGTAAGGATTTGGAATCTTTTCATCGATAAATGGTAAACTTAGAGAAGAAAGGTAAAGGCATCCAGATGTAAACATTCTACATATTAATTACTGTAACTGTCTTACTAACCTGTTTTGAAACTGTCTCATTGCTATTTGTTTCTCAATAAAATATTCTACAATATATACATGTACTATGACATCACATGGTACATGTGAAGTCTTTGCAATTTTTATGTTTGTATATATCAGTTTATAAAACTTACAACTGATCTACAAAAGTAGCACACAGGTGGGATGAAATACATTAGGCAGGATGAGGGAACTGCAGATCAAAACTACAATGAGACCCCACCTCACTCCAGGTAGAGCAGCTACTATCCAGGATATAAAAAAGCAATAACTGCCCAGGTGTGGTGGCGCACACCTGTAAGCCCAGGACGCAGGAGGCTGAGGCAGGAGGATCGCCGCAGCCCTCCTGTACTATTGATGGGAATGGGAACTGCTACAGCCACACTGGAAATCAGGATGGAAGTTCCTCAAAAAACTAAGGCCAGAACAACCGGATGATCCCAGGCCTCCTCGGTACAAAGCCAGAGGGTTTCGAGCCGGCACACTACAGGGCTGCCTGCATACCCCCATTCGCTGAGGCATGATGCAGACAGCCGGGACCTGGCACCACTTTGGGGTCTGTCAGCTGGATGAATGGGTAAAGAAAACGTGGTAAATGTGCTGGACACACAAGAAAGCATCACCCGAGGAGAGCGCAAGGACGCCACTGGCAGGACAACGGGTGCAGCTTTCCATCATCCAGTGCAATAATCCAGACTCAGACAAGGAGCAAATGGTCCCTACTATACAAAATTACAGAAAAAAGAACTGGGGGGAGAACAGCAGCCTGGCACGGTGGCACTGCCTGCAGTCCAAGTCCTGGGAAGGCTGAGGCTCGCTGGAAGTTTGAGGCCGGTCAGGCTACACAGGGAGTTCCAAAGCAGCCTAAACAGTGTGGTGAGACCTGCGCCAAAGCACACAAAGGCAGAGACAGCAGAAGAGAGACAAGCATCAGCCAAGGAAGGGGACAAGGTGGCCGGGGAGACTTAGAGAAGCCACGGAGAGGGGCAGAACCGAAACATGACCCAACGCATAAGGACGTAGCACAGTGAACCCGAGATGTTATAACGTGAATAGGTGGGACTAAAATATATTTTCAGTAATAATGATGAGGAATAATAAAAGAAGCGCGGCGAACGGCCCGGGACGACCGGCGGGCGAGGCGCCGCGCACGTCTGCAGACCCTGCGGTGGGAATGCGGTGGTCACCGGTGCTCGCTAGCCCCAACCGTGGACCGAACCGGAGCAGAGCCGAGGGCAGCAGCTCGGAGCCGCTGTCCGCTCTCGGCCAAGGCCAGCCCAGCGGGCTGCTTCTGGGCGCTGGCGGGAAAGAACTGGAAGAGGAAGCAGCCCGAGGCCTTGTGACCACAGAAGGCTGGCAGGAGCGAGACTCCCTGGGCGGGCAGGGAGGACGCGGGGAGAAGGGCGCTGCCGCGCTGACCGCACGCCGGAGACGAGGGCACCCACACTGCAGGCCCCTCGGACCGGACCGCGCGCTGGGGACGCCCAGACCCTGCGGACCTCAAGCTGCCCGAGCGGCTCCGGCCTGGACGGCAGGGCTCTGGGACAAGCAGGCAGCCGAGAAGGTGAGGAGTACCGCGCCGCGAGGAAAGCATTCCCCGCACGGTGGCCGGAGAGGCAGGCCATTCGCTCAGGTCACCCGGGCGGGGGGCAGCCGCAGGGGTCCCGCGCCCACGCACTCAGCCCCACACTCTGCTTCCTTCCCACCCCAGCCAAGGCCGTGCTACATCTGATTGCCTGGGGCTTCCAACGCTCGGTATTGGAGCTGGGCCACTGTTGTGACTGGGGGGAGGCTGTGAGACGCTCTGTTGGCCAAGAGCAGGGTTGAAATCCAGCACTGGGCTGCTGAGATGGCTCAGTGGTCTAAAGCACCTACTTAGAACAAGCTCAGCAAAGCACAGGGACCACGGTTCAATCCCCCAGCACCACATGCCAGCCAGCCCCGCCCCCTGGTGGGCTGAGCTGGCCACACACACACACACACGAATAAATAAATAAAATTTAAAAAAAATTAAAATAGGAAAATGGACTTTTAATATTTGGAAAAGATAGTCATGCTCCTGTTTCAATTTTTGGACACAAAGTCACTTTTTTTTGGAGACAGCGTCTTGCTAGTCCAGGCTAGCTCTGAACTCTCTGTGTAGCTCAGGCTGCCCTCGAACTTGCAGTGATCCTCCTGCCTCAGCCTCCCGAGTACAGGGAATACAGGCGTGCGCTACCATGCCCCATGCTGGGAAGTCGCATGTATTGATGAGTGCCACCAAGCAGGGGGAAGAGCAGAGGGTGCTCTCCTAAGTGCAGGGACCAACACTTATCCGAGGGCCCAGGCTTGAGGAAGTGGATAAGTCTTCTGATGCTCTAAGAACTTGCACTCGGCTCTGCATGACTCAGCTGGACGTGGTGACCCTGCAGCGTGACCTGGGCCACTGCAGCGCTCTGGGGTCTCCTGCAGGAATCCCACACACCTGCCTGGGGACGGCGCAGGATCACACACAGGAGCATTCCCTGGACAGCACCGCCTCCCAGTTCCTGGCGGCAACTCGTAAGAGCGACAGCCTGCACACACACCATCCTTAGTACTGATTGATGCTACAGCAAACTTTAAGGCTTAAACTTTAAATGTGAAAACACAGCAATAAAAATATTCAAAGAAAGCCTGGCCAGATAACTCAGCAGATTAAAGCACCTGCTTGGGCAGACAGGGACAGGGGTTCAATTCGCAGCCAGCCCCACCCCCAGGGTACATGAGACTGTGACTGAGACTGGACACGCACCTGTAATCCCAGCGCTTGGGAGGATGAAAACAGGAGGATCACTATGAGTCCGATCTGTGTAGTGAGACCCTGTAGACCCCGTACTAAAAAAAAAAAAAAAAAAAAAAAAAGAATATTCCAAGAGTCTTCCCAGTCTTAGATTTGGCACTTGACTTTTAACTATGACACCAAAAGTATAGGCAAAGAAAAAACCAACTGGAGCTCATCCACATGGAAATCAGATTTAAACGGAGACTTCTGTGAACCAAAGGATTCTATCAAGAGAGTGAGACTGGGGCAGGGAGTGCACGCCTGTAATCCCAACACTTGGGAGGCTGAGGCAGGAGGATCACTGCAAGTTTGGGTGCAGCCTAGGCTACAAAGTGAGCTCAAGGCCAGCCTGGACTACATAGCAAGACCTTGTCTCAAATTAAACAGAGAGAGAGTGAAAAGACAGATCACAGAATGGCAGAGATTTCTGCAAGTCCTAGATCCGACACGGGTTCAGCGCAGGAGTGCCTCACTTCGCAAACTTAACTCATCCACCGTTCCAGAAAAGACGGTCACTCTTCTGCTCTGGCAGGAAGGCCATCTGTAGTCCTGTTCGTCACCCGACACAGAATTCACAAAAGCCAAATTGTACCAAAAGCCATGATGTACCGAGGTACCATCACGTTCAGAATATATTTAAAAATCCTGAGGGCTTTCTGGTTAGCTCAGTGGCTTAAAGCACCACTTGGGCAAACGCAGTCATGCGCAGGGGACGCGGTTCAATCCCCAGCTCCACAAGCCACGTTAGCCCCACCCTTAAGGCAGCCTGAACTGGACCAAAAAAAATCTTCTCCAATTTTAGGGCAAAAAATCCTACAACTCAACAACATAAAGACATCCAAACCAATTCAAAAGTAGGCACAGGAAAAGTAAAATTAAAAAAAAAAATGGGCAAGGGGCTTGACTATACATTTCTCCAGAGAAGATACACCTATAACCAATAAGCACATAAAAAAATTCGCCATCATCAATCTGTAGGAAAATGCAAACCAAATCTACAATGCCAACACCCTAAGCATTTTGGGGATGGCTTCAATTTTTAGAAGGAATTTTTTTTTTTTTTGCTCCGAATGCCTTGAGGGCAGGTTTGGCTGGCTTGAGTTGTGGGGATTGAACCACTTCAATTTTTAAAAAGACAGAAAATAACAAACATTTGGGAATTGTTAGGGAAACTGGAATCTCACACATTGCAGTGAGAAATGCAAAGTAGTACAGCCACTGTGGAAAGCAGCTCCGTGGCCTCAAAGGTTAAACACAGAACTGTTAGCCCAAGAATCCTGTCCTTAGATGGACACACAAAAAAGCTGAAGCAGAAATGCCAACACGAGTCTCTCCACGTCCAGGTTCACAACTGCATTTGCTTGGTGTTTTTTGAGACAGGGTCTCATTTTGTCAGCCAGGCTGGCCTTGAACTCACAGAGACCCATCTGCCTCAGCCTCCCAAAAGCTAAAATAGTAGGTATGTGCCACTATGCCTGGTAAAAGATGAATTTTGTATCAGTTTTTATAAAATACCAGAAGGAAATACAGATCAGTGTATAATAGCCACATAGAGTTGCTCTTTATCTTCTTCTTTTTCTTTTTTTTTTTTTTTTTTCCAGTATTGGGGATTGAACTCAGGACCTTCCGCTTGCCAGGCAGGCATTTACGCCACTGAGCTATATCCTTAGCCTTCTTTCTTCCTTCCTTTCTTTCTTTTCTTTGTTTCTGAAAAAAGTCTCAAACTCCTGGGCTCAGGGACTCTCCTGACTCAGCCTCCCAAGTAGCTAGAACTGTAGATGTGCACCACCACACTCAGCACATTTTTTTAAAGGTAGCTCTGCGATTCTGTTTTTTTGTTTGTTTGCTTTTGTTTTTTTAAACCTCTAAGAGTTTGATAAAATAAGGGCTGGCCAGAAAGCTCAGCAGACTAAAGCACCTGCTTAGGCAGAGCGCAGTGGCCAGAGTTCATCCCCGATTGCTGTGCCGGCCCCGCCCCTGCCCCTGTGGCACGCTGAGACGGCGACTGAGGCTAGGCACGGTGGTGCGCCCCTGTAATTCCAGCGCTTGGGAGGCTGAAGACAAGAGGATCACTATGGGTCAGATCTGTGTAGTGAGACCCTGTGGACCCTGTGGACCCTGTACTAAATACAAAAAAAAAAAAAAAAAAAAAAAAAAGCTAGATAAAACAGATCCTTTCCCAAGAAAAAATATATGTAATTTTATACATGCAATTCTAAGTGTCTCATGGATGCCCCAAAGTCTATTCATAGATATACTGGGACCAAAAGTTACTGATTTGTCAGGATTTAAGAAGTAAAGTTATAAAATAAATTAAAATTCTGGTATAGATGCAAATACCCTAGAAACACGCCGCAGCGGCAACTGCAAAGCACGGCGACCTGCTCCTTCAGAGCAGCCTGTGGGCTGCGGCGTGCTTGCTTTTGAATGCATCTCTTGGGAAAGGACTGAAAGTAAAACAAACCTCAGGTGCTAACGCCGCACAGCCGCCAGCTCTTGGCAGCCCCTCTCCAACTGGTCGGAAGAGAAAATCTTGGGCAAACCTCGAATTCTTCAAAATAGCTGCTGTTTCTTCATCCACTTCAACAACGTCACCCTGCTAGGATGGCAAAGAATGCGTTATTAGAAGAGGCCACTTCAGGGGCCTGGGAGATGGCTCAGTAGGATAAACGTTTGACTGGCAAACGCAAGGATCTGAGTTCAATCCCCGGTTCCGCCCAAAAATAAATAAATAAATAAATACATAAATTGGGGCTGGGGCGATGGCTCAGTGGGATATGTGCTTCCCTGGCAAGCACAAGGGCCTGAGTTCAATTCCCGGTTCCGCAAAAAAAAAAAAAAAAAAGAAGAAGAAGAAGGCCACTTTGGCCTCCCTGCAAAGAACACACAGGAACACACTCAGCAGCTTTGCCCACCAGTGGCATTCTGGATTACAAAACTGATGTGGCGGAATTCCGTCAGCTCCATTATGATGAAACGGGAACAGGAATTTCTCCAGTGCACTGGTGTCTCCTCCTCCAGCCTAGGGAGAACATCTTGCTCGGTGATGTCGGGACAGTTTTGGTAACGTCCAACCCCTTGTGAAGTGATCTTTTAAAGCCTAGAAGCAGAGCGCTCCTGACCGGAAGATCTCTGAGACTTGCCGCTGACCAGCTTGTCCTGCTGTTCAGCGCCACGGAGCCGGTGGTGGCGGCGTCAGATCCAAGCCTGCTCCCCAGGCTGGACGGGAAGTCCCTGCTCCTCGGGTGCTCTCGCTGCCATCTCCCTGTCACGTGCTGGGGGCCCATGAAGAGGAGGGGTCCAGGAGCTCGGGCGGCCTTCGCTGTCCCAGCCGCAGGAGCTGCGCCTTCCGCTCTGGCTCAGCCCTGCCTGCCACAGGGCTCCCTGCCACTACCTGAGGACCCTCTGAGAGCTGGGCTGTCTGCGCCTACACTCGTCTTGTGCATTGATTTAGTCATACTGTCCTGGCCGTTTGCTGTCCCCCTGGCGGAGGGCGCTGGGGCCTGAAAAAACATGGGATTTGGACCAAACCTCTGAAGGCAGAAGCATCTCCTCGCCACACCTTTGGGACAGATAAGACCTCAGTGCACAATAGGAATGTTGCTGTAGCCAGCTCATCGTGACAGAAATTTTATAAAGTAGGTATTACTATCCTTACTATCACCATGGGACACACTGGATCTCAAAGAAATGTGATGAGTTATTCCCAGTTACTCAAGTAATAAATACCAGAGCCAGAATTGGACATGGCGTCTGGCTCCAAAGCCTGTACATGGGGGGGGGGGGGTACCGGGGATCGAACTCGGGACCTTGTACTTGCCGGGCAGACGCTTATGAAGCTTATGCTGCTGAGCTCTCTCTCCAGCCCAAAGCCTGTACTCTTCCATTTTGATAAAATAAAACCTATTCTGCAAAGAGTAGCACAAGTACCAATTCAATTCCAAGATCCAGTGAAGCAGCTGGAATGGTGCAACCCAGGACTTTGTCCCCTCCTCTTTTCTGTAGCTTGCCAAGCCAATCCCTAAAGGAGACTGTAGGAGTCACTACCAGGTCCTCGGTCCAAGATTTGTAATCCCAAAGTTACGTCATTGGAATCCCATCAAGTTGATTCCATTCTACCACTTTCAATGCAACTCACGGTGAAAATAAAGACACTAAATTATATTTTCAGTCATTGGGAGTCGAGGGGCCCTAAGTCCAGCTACGAAGATGGCTTTCCAGAACCAAGAGCGAGACCCAGGGCCTCACCCGGTTTTTATTCAGTGGGGCAGTGGCTTGAGGATTGACGGAGAATTGTGGGAAGTAGGTGACTGCTGTGAGCTGAGCTCGGTGGGTGGCCTGCATTTACCTCTGCCCTATGCGGAGAGGATACGCAGAGACAGTCATGTGCATTATACTATCGTGCCACAGAGACAGCATCTAAGGTTTTAGGGGTCTGGTGCTTCGGCTCTGATGTAGGCTTTCAAGCCCCAGGAAGTCAGAGCCTCTATCTCGAGGCTCGATCCCAGCTGGCTGCGCAGAGCATTAGCTCTACCGTGCTGTCTCACATTAAAGAGCAGCAGGTGTGGGTTACCAGGGAAACAGGCACGCCACTTTCAGACTATCACCAGCCCCTCAGTTAGACCAGTACACATTGCTTAAGGCCGATTGAAGGATAAACAGAAGTCCCGGCCAGCTCCGTACAGAACAATACGAGGAGATGGGGTCAGGCTCAGTCAACATGGAGACCCTCGCTCTTCTTTCAAGGAGAGCTGCTCGGGTGGACCTCCACAGGAGACGTCTCTTAAGGAAATCTCTCAAGTATAATAACGACATTGTGGCTCTGTGGGGCAATATTTTATTCTTAGCGAGAAGCCCTGAGAGCCTCAACCGGAAGGGCAGCAGGGCGGAGCCACGCAAGACTGAACGTTCTCGCACGTGGAACCGCAGACTGAACGTTTGCCCCGCTGGATTTTGGAATTGCTCTGGTTCCATTCTTTTGCATCCCTGTTTGTAACTTTTGGATGGAAATGTCTATCTTGTGCCACTAAATGTTGGAAGTGCTTAACTTTCATTTGTGCAGGGGCTCACAGCTAACACTTTGCCTCAGATCTCAGAGGAGACTTGGGGGGCCAGGGTGAAATGTTTTGGTTTATGTCTGGATGACCCCAAAGCCTCCTGCAGCCAAGGGGGCCAGACTTTGTGGAGGTGACTGAGGCGGGAGTGTGCAATTCTGGGACTAAGGGTGGGTGACTGCAGGAGCAGTGTGCTGACTGGGTGGTAGTGCCCGCACCCCAGCAGTCTAGATAAGGTAAAGGAGCAAAGAAGCAGAAAGAGGCTTGACTCTGTCTGTCTTCTCTATCTCTCTGTCTCTTTCTTTCTTGCTCTTTCTGTTTTTCTCTCGTTGCTTTTGCTGTTTTCCACTGTCATGAACTGCTGCCCTCTGCCATGTGCTGCCTTGGAGCCAGCTGACTATGGACTCAAAGCTCTGCAAACTGTGAGTTAAATAAACCCTTTCTCCAAAGAAAGAAAGAAAGAAAGAAAGAAAGAAAGAAAGAAAGAAAGAAAGAAAGAAAGAAAGAAAGAAAGAAAATACATAGAGACTGGGAAAGAGCAGAAAGATTGCCAGAAATCATGAGCCTTTTTCTCTCCTTTTTGGGGTCCCAGGGCTACAATCCAGAGCCTCCCGTGTGCTAGGCAATTGCTCCACCACCAAATTGCACCTCTAACCCCACAAACGTTTCCATTTACCTTGAATGTGAAATTCACATCAAATATTAGTTCTTTTTCGTGTCCAGTGATTCCTCCATTGTAAACAACTTGGCATCTTTCAGCTGGTTCTCCCGGAGGGAGTTTGAAGAGGCGGACCGTGGCGGAGACAAAGCGACAGTCACCTAAAAGCAGATGCGGTGGTTGGCCTCCAAGTGCCAGCAGCGCAGGTCTACTCAGCAGGGGGGTCAAGCCCACCCTAAAGGTAACTTTTGCCTTTGCATGTCATCAGTGATCTGGCTTGGTATTTACTCTACTCACTGAATAACTTCAAAGAGCCTTATTACATATCAGACTTTTGCGGGTGGGGGCTGCCAGCGTCCAGGAGACAGGTGGGAGTCCCCGGGTGACGCGAGGCCTCCTCCCTGAGCTCACTCGGGACCACCGTCAGCCCGCTTGGAGGACTCCAGTCAAGGTGCCCCCGGCCCTCCAGTTGCTCCTCACCGATAGCTCTTTCCAGCTCCTTGTTCTGGACCGTGATGGGACTGGCGGCAACCAGGCGCGGCGCGCAGAAGCCGATGTTCCGGGCAAGGTCGGCCAGGCTCTTCCAGGACAGCGCGCCCCCCAGGCACTCACCTTAGGACCGAGGCACAAAGCAGTCAATGCCGGAAGCGGCTCGCAGGAAAGGCATCCTCTGCAGAATGAATCAGCGCGCAGTAGCCGCGAAAGCACGGGCCTGGAACTAGAAGCTGACCTGCGCACTTCCGCTCACCTCGAGTCCCAGGTAGGCCAGGTGGGATTACCACGTGGCTCCTGGGAGGAGCTCCTCAGCTCGCCACTGAGGTGCTGGTTTGCTCAGCTGCAATCGGAATATTCACGTGTTTGTTAGGTCACAGCCATATTCTGGTAAAGCTTCGGTGTGGGAATAACACAAGCTCAGAAGGAAATGACAGAGCTGCCCCTTAGCCCTCTCCAGGCCGATCTGCTACCAAGAGTAACTAGTACTAACGTTCATAAGGCATTTTATGTTTTTAAATACAAAGACATACTAAACAGCTGGGCGCGGTGGCGCACACCTGCATCCTGGCACTCAGAAGGCTGAGGCAGGAGGAGCGCTGTAAATTCAAAGCCAGCCTGGCCTACACAGCAAGTTCAGTGTCAGCCTACATTACATAGTAGCATGATCCTGCCTCAAATAACAAGCAAGCAAATAAACATGTGCTAAAGACAAGTTTTATTTACTACATCAATAAATTGGAAACAACCGAAATGATCTCCAGTGGAGAAATGGTTAAAGTATCGTACAGATGAACAACATAGTTGTGTAATACAAACATTGTTAAAATGTTTTAAAAAAAAATTTAGGCTTAGCAACTAGGCTAAATAAGCAAAATTGAAATATGAAATTCTATGTTAAAGGGGCTGGTGAGATGGCTCAGTGGTCTAAAGCACCTACTTAGAACAAGCTAAGCTCAGCAAAGCGCAGGGACCGCGGTTCAATCCCCAGCACCACATGCCAGCCAGCCCCGCCCCCTGGTGGGCTGAGCTGGCCACACACACACACACACACACACACACACACATAAATTTAAAAAAAAAAAAGAAATTCTATGTTAAAGAGATTATCCCTGAATATAGGATTATAAATATTTTTAAAATATTTTCCGGCTTTTTAGCTATATATAATATATATATTATACAAGCTATATATTATATATATTATATATATTATATATATTATATAAGCTATATATTATATATATTATATATATATATTATATATATATATATTGCTTCTAGAAATCAAACTTGGAACCTCACACTTGCCAAGCAGGTAGTGTACCACTGAGCTATATCCCTGGTTCTATTAATATTATTATTTTTAGTTTTTTGAAATAAGATCTCACTGTGTACCCCAGGTTGGCGTTGAACTCACTGTGATCCTCCTGTCTCAGCCTCCCAGGTACTTGGATTACAAACATGTATCACATGCCCACCTTGTTTATTATTGCATAAAATGTTAACACATTCTGCCGGGGATGCAGCTCAGGGGCACAGTGCCTGCCTGGCAAGCGCAAGGTCCTGAGTTCCATTCCCAGAACCAAAGAGAAAACAAAAAAGTTCACATGTTTTCTTTTACTTTTTGGCAAAGTTCCACATTTATGAGAGGTAGGAAAAATTAAAAGAAGGATGTGCTTTTTTTTTTTCCTGAACCAGGGATTGAACTCAGGTCCTTCCACTTGCTAGGCAAGCACTTATTCTGAGCTATCTCCGCAGCCCCCAGAAGTGTGCTTTGCAGAACAAGTTTGGGCCACAGGAAAAGGGAGAAAAACTAAAAACAAAGATAAAAGTGTACCCTGGAGTGGAGGGGGGGAGGGCACCACAAGAGGTGCAGTGGGCAACTTCATTTACTTTAAAAGAAACAATTTTGCAGCCAGATAGCTCAGCGGACTAAAGCGCCTGCTTAGAGCAGGGGGGGGTGTGTGTGTGTGTATCAATCCCAGCGTGCTGTGCAGGCCCCACCCCCGGGGCACGCTGAGACGGGATTGAGACTGGGCGTGGTGGTGGTGCACACCTGTAATCCCAGCACTTGGGAGGCTGAAAACAGGAGAATCACTGAGTCCACTGTACATAGTGAGACCCTGTAGACCCTGCAGACCCTGTACCAAATATATAATTAAAAAAAGAAGAAAAGAAGAACTTTGCATTTCACAGAGTGATCACCAGCACTTATTTACATCCGCATCTGCCAGAGGCTCCCATAAAGTGACATGAAGAATCGAAAAGCACAGAAGGGATGAGAATCAGAGAGGGCAAGAGGCCCCGGCTCTGGTGCCCCCCCCCCCCAGCACTTTCGTTTGTTACCCTGTTTGATCTCTTCATGGCCCCATAAGGTACGCTGCGCTGTTGTTCTTTACATTTTACAGTAGAAAATAAGGATTGGTAGCGACTCGGCACTAAAATGCCCCGGATGGCGGCCCTTTACAGGGGCCAAGGAAGGGGGGCCCCCAGCCCCTGGCCTTCGGGCTCCGGGCCTCACAGCAAATCACTTCTTCCTGCTGGTAATAGAAGGCAGCTTTGCACATACAGAATTATCTGCCTTAAAGAAAAAAAAAAAAAAACACTTACCCCACAAAACCTTGTGCGTCCTGATTTCTTCTGGCATTTCAAGGCTGGCGAGGACGTCACTGAAATACAGCTCCCCGCCAGGCTGAAGCCAGGCAGGCAAGGTTAGAGATTACAAATGGGTGAGGACACCAGATGCATTTCAAAGCCCAGAAGAAAGTCTGAGCTGACACTGACCCAGCTGGCCTTCTGGGGACAAACAAGCTGCTTTCCTCGTTAGTCAGCAGGGAGGGCCAGTGCCCTCTGCCCCGCCGTCGTGCAGAAAATCACCTTCCAGATCTCTCTCCCATGTACACTGAAGGTGCCGCAGATCTTAGCAAGTCAGAACTACACGCAGCCCCAGGTGGCCATAAAACTTAACAGAAGATATAAACAATATTTATAGGTTCTTTTAAACTTTTGATTAGCATATGGTTTGGTTTTTTAATTTATTTATTTTTTTGTATGGGAATTGAACTCAGGACCGTGTGCCTGCCAGGCGGGTGCAGAGCTGCTGAGCCGCATCCTGGCCTATTAGTACGTATTCATGACGCACAATGATTTACACTGTGGGGAATTCATACATGTGCACGACCCACCTCAGTCCTTTCTCTCTCTTTTTTATTTTTCTGAGACAGGGTCTCACCATATAGCTCAGGCTGGCCTTGAACTCACTGTGTATCCCAGGCCTTCCTCAAATTTGTGGTGATCCTCCTGCCTCAGCCTCCCTTAGTGCTGGGATTACAGGCATGCACACTATGCCTAGCATGTGCTGGACTATAATCTCTCTCTCTTTCTCTCTCTCTCCCCTCTCTCTCCCTCCCTATGTGTCTTTAATGTCACACTTCATTTGTACACTCCTTTTTCCATGGAAGACAAAGCACGTGGTCTTTACGCTGTGCCGCTCTCCTGCACTTAACAACGCGGCCTCAGGTGCGTGCGCTTCCCTAGCGGGACCCAAGTCCATCTCCCTACACAGCACACGGTACTGCCTGTGTGCAAACATTTTCTGTGACCATTCATCTGTTGATGGAAACAACAGGCCGTAGACGCTGAACCTTTAAAGATCTACAGCTTTTCGTAATGTCATTATTACATATCATGTTGTGAAAGTATTGGGTGTGGTAGAGTATCTGCCTGGTGCACACAGGCCTTGGGTTCAAGTCCAAGGAAATTATCCATATAAATTGAAATGAGTGATCAGAAACTTAGGATTTTCACGTGGCTGATTTCAAAAGCAGGGCGGTCTAGATTCTACAACAATGCTGACCTTTCTTAGGCATCTCAGGAAGATAGCCGATGGGTCGATTAACATGCAAACTACTCAAATAAAGATATTATGAGCTGTTTTATGATAACTCTGTGAATCAAGAAAATCTCTCACTCTTCTTTTCTTTGGAGCTGGGAGTGGGACACAGAGATGGGTGCATAGTATGAAGGGCTCCGTCACCAAGTGACACCTCCGGCCCCCGAAATCTCTCTAGCACAAAGGAACTCGTTTCATGGCACAGAGGAAGCTGTGCAGCTCGTGCAGGTGTGCCTTTAGGACACATTAGCCCAGGAGCAGGTGCAGCGTGCGCACCTGTTACCCGGCACCTGGGGAGCGGAGGCAGGAGGATCGCTGCAAGTTCTAGGCCAACCTGGGCTACATGGCAAGTTCAAGACCAGCCTGAATGGACGAGCAAGACCCTGTCTCAAAAAGACAAAAAAATAAAATGAAGCAAATAAGAGAGAGAAAGAAAAAAAGTAGATATTACTGTAAAAGTCCCATCTTCCTTAGCTTCTCAAACAGCCAAAATCCCAGCAGATGAGAAGCAGCAGCCCTAAGAAACAGCGCAGGACCTGGGAAGCAGTGTCTATTCACAGCCAGCTTTTGTAAGCAGCCCAGAGGCCCCAGATACTGCAGATACCCATCGAGGGTCACTTATGGCAGCCAGGAGGCAAGAGAGGAAGAGAAACGCTGCTTCGTGTCCAGTGACAATCGTGACCCAAGGACTCACTACTTTCTGAGAGCTGACAAGGAAAAAGAAGCCACAGCTGGGGTGTTCCTGCCACTGCCTACCCTTACCACCCCTTCTCAGCGTGGTGCGGGAGTGGCAGTCTTCAGCCCAGGGGGACAGGAAGCGCTATCTCTAAGGCTCAAGGACCTCGGGCTCGCTCACCTTCAGCGCGCGGTGCACCTCCCGCAGCACTTGCTGTTTATCAGGCACAAGGTTAATCACACAGTTAGAGCTGAAAAGCCAAACACAGATGTTCAGTGACCGAGTCCTCGCAGTCCCTCCAGGTGCTGCCACCATTGTGCCAACACCACCCCACCATTCCTGCATCCCCCTCTTCCCTACATTCAACTTTTTCTCAAGATAAAAAAAAGTAAGCAGAGTATTTAGAGTCTCAGTACATTTTCTCTTTCTTTTTCTTTTTTGAGACATGGTCTCAAAATGCAGTTCCGGCTATCTTTGAACTCACTGTGTAGCCCACGCTGGCCTCAAACTTGACGTGATCCTCCTTCCTGAGCCTCACAATTCTAGGCATGCACCACCACAGCTGGCTCAGCTTGTATTTTTTTAATGTGCATTCATACTTGCATATTTCATTATCATTATTTATTTATTAGCAGTATTATTGTGGTACTTGGGTTCAAACACAGAGGCCCTCTACCACTTAGCCATTGTTATTTTAGTGCACACTCCTACTTATAAAAAAGTTAAAACAGTATGTTGAGCCAGGTGTGCTGGAGCATGACTGGAATCCCAGCACTCAGGAGGCTGAGGCAAGAGGATCGCCATGATTTCGAGGCTACCCTGGGCTATAGAGGGAGACCTTGTCTCAGAAACAAAAACCAAACCACACTATGGCATCAGCAGCCTCACACATCTCTCCCACTGACTGCATCTCTTACTTGCATCCTTTTTTCTGGGGCATTTCATCACGCTGCTTTGTTCACTGTGGCGCAAGGAGCAATAAACTATATGCTATTCTGGCCAGGATATAGCCCAGTGGCCTGCTCGCCTGCCTGGCAAGTGCGAGGGCCTGAGTTCACCCTCCAGTGGCCACAACACAACCCCCAACTATACAGTGTTCACACATGGAGAAATCACTTCGCGACGCAGTCCTCAGAAGCGATCACTGTCACTGAGCCGCCCGCAGCTATACTGGCGGGCCCCTGGCACTCCGTGCTTGGTGGTACGTTCTCTCCTGGTTTGGGGGCTCTGTGCCTAGCAGCCTAGAAGCAGCTCAGATCCAGCCCCTTCCTTTATGAAGACGCCTAAGGTCTACTTTCACATCTCTCATGAGAGTCAAGTCAGCCCCCAATGGCAAGATTAGGGTGACCCAGAAGAAATGGGCTGATACTCTGGTTTCTCTTCAGATTGTGAAAATCTTTCGCCTTTTACAAAAAAATGGGCTTTTCTGATAATTATGAGGACACAGTCCTACACAGCAATGTCGTAGCTCTCCTCCTGGACTCCTGCGTCTGCCAACTTTTCAATGTAGCCATGAATAAAATCCACACTGGGTGTCTGGAAGCCATGTGTTTTCATGTGATAGCTAAGGTACTTTTTAGCCACTTCCACCTAAGGGGAAAAACACAGATTTGATGATCAACAGATTTTCAAATTGTATTATTTTTCCCTAAAATTCCTATTACTTATAAGATATACTTCCCCAAGACTATTTTGAATAAATATACAAGATTCCTATGAAGGTATGCTAGAGCCTTACACATAAACTCCCTGCTACCTGCGTTTTGTCTGAACAAACCCTTCCCTCAGTGAGAGAATCTTTCAGGACAGATACATTAGGAGGAAAAGGTGAAATGTTGAGGGCCATGAAGTTCATACATCAGCTAAAACTCTGACTTTGTGTTCTCCCCCAAAGAACCTCTAAGCCAGGAATGGTGGTGCACGCCTGTAATCCCAACAGGCACGAGGCTGACGTAGGAGCATCACACTGCAAGTTGGAGGCCAGCCTGGACTATGCATGAGTTCAAGGTTGGGCTGAATTGCGTGGGGAAACGCTGTCTCAAAAAAAAAGCCTCAACGTTCTCAGCATTCTTCACTTCCAGGACAAACAGCTCTAGGGATTAAAATGATCATTGCTATATCATGGCCTTCTTAGATTATCCTTGCAGAGTCCAAAGGAAATTATCTTTTGAAGAACATACTGGAGAACTGTCCGCTCCCAATCTCTGCCTTACCTGTCCTTCTGTCATGTCTACTCCTGTGACGTGTCCCTTCTCACCAGCCAGCTGACTAAGTACATAGCAATCTCTGCCACTTCCACTACCGAGGTCCAAAATCCAGCAGCTTTCCAGACGCTCAGGGATGACAAGGCCACAGCCATAATACCTGGAAGTGGACAGGACGTTTTCCCGAGGCTAGATGTGAAAACCCTACAGTTCACCCCCCTTTCTGCTTCCTCTCCCCACACCTTGCCTTCTTCCCCTCCTCCCACCACCTCGCATTCTTGCTTCTATGTGGGCCTTTGTCCTACATGAAGCCACAGAGGCTGGGACATATCTGCTTCACCGTAATACTTGTGGGCACTCCATTAGGTACCAAGACTTAGATAAATCAGCTGGGATATCTGTCCACCAAAGCATTGAACCTTCGCTGCTGAGCGCCTGCTTCAGACCCAGGACCCAGGACTGTGCTTATTAGCTATCTGCTCCTCAAGTGCATTTTTAAAAAATTTTATTTATTTATTTTGCGGAACTGGGGATTGAACTCAGGCCCTTGCGCTTGCCAGGGAAGTGCTTATTCCACTGAGCCATCTTCCCCACCCCATGCATTTTAATTTTGACTGCAGAAGAACAAGCACAGAAGACAGCTGCTGCAGCTGACTGACAACAGGAGCGGCCTGAGCCAGAGCGCTTGAGCGCTTTGGGTTAGAAAGTGCCCTGGAGCAGAGGCCGCGATGGGCACTGCGGGGTGGGCCAGGCAGTGCCAATGCCAGAGGAAGGGCAGCTCAGGGGCCAAGGCTGCCGGGGAAGGGAGGCCACGCCGTGTTGCCTGTGTCCTCCGATGGGAGGCCGGGAATGTTCTCTGGCACACTGAGGTGACACGCTGCACTCCGGCAGAAAAGGCCAGCCAGAGGGCTTAGTGAGAAAAGCTGGCCTTCCTCGAGGCTGTCATCACTGTCCTTGTCAACACTGCAGGCTTCGCGGGAGCAGCGCAGGCCACTCTACCTCAGCGCCACCTCTTCGTGCACCTTCTGCAGGGCTTCCTGGACATGCTTGGGGACGGACCGGGCCAGGGTGACACAGGCGTTGGTCTGGAGGTCTGCAGACGTCTTCAGCACCTGCCCGTAGTAGCTCTGACCCGCGCACAGAAAGGGCAGGAGAGAAAAGGTGGAGCTGCTCGATGCAGCCCCAGGACTCTGTCACCCCTGCTCCCAGCGGGCCTAGATGACCTTCACTCTGCAAACCTGGTTCAGGGTCAGGCCAGCGCAGGCCATCAGGGCCTCTCCCACCCGTCCCCCTCCTGCCTGGAGGTTTCCTCCTGACTGAAAGGATGTGGAGTCCCGTCCTCGGCCACTGTTGACGCACGGCCGTGAACGCAGGTCCCCCTGGACAGCTGGTCCGCGGGCTAGCTCACCTGCACGGCCCTCCAGACCTCAGTGGCGGCGGTGGGGTCCACTGTGAGGGAGGAGGAGGGAGCTGAGGG